ACAATTGTTGATATCACAAATTTTTGTTAAGAGCGCTTTCGCCACTACTTTTTACCTCGTTAAGAGGTGTTTTTGTTTGATTTATAATTAGAGCTAACTCAAACTTTTAATTTTTCATCTTTTTACGCACACCACACATCCTTGGTGGCTTTAAAAGGAGCAATCACTACATCTCCTGAGAGACTGTGACACCAATCTGTCTTCAAGCAACCTATACAGCTGCCGAAAGATTGCGACACCTAGTTTGTCTACGTGGGCGTATCGCGCATGTACCCTCAAGCCACCTGTTTATGGTCAATGTGGCAGTAATCTTAGGACCAGCAAAGATTTTATTTGCGCGATGATTTAGCGAGCCGGGAATCTAATTTCCAAAGCCGCCGAGAGGAGCCAAGGAATGAAAATTTGATTTTTAAAAAAAAGTATGAATGTCCAAAGCTTCATTTTTTGAAATATGCGACATACTACGAAACAAACCGCATTCATAAAAATTCCGATGCCTTTGGAAAAGCAGGTGACAATCTGCATATACAAATTTGCAATCTGTACCAAATATCGCGTCATTGGGGATGTAGTTGGAGTACAAAAAAGTACTGTCCATAAATACTTTCACATTGTTGTTAAAGCAATACTAAAAATCGCTAGTACATTAATTTCGTACCAAAATTCCAGGCTTTAAAAAACTATTGACGGCAAAAAGCATTCAAGTATATCTAAAAATTATATTAAAAGTGATATACCAATTATTTAGGAACACACAATCCTGTTAAAGCCCCAAAGATTGGCTTTATGGATTTTGTTAATCGAAAAAGATGGACATCGAAGGTCATACAAGCTGTGGTTGACAACAATGACTCTTAAGTAAATATTTTGGTATTGGTTTTTAGTACAATATATTTATACATTTTTAAAACAATATATTTGTAAAATCAGAGACGTAACCACGATGTTTCCAAGAAGTGTCCACGATGCCACGGTCTTTAAGGAATCTGCAATTTTTTAAGATCGCACCCGAATTATTCCGGATTTCCAAAAACAAAGCAAAGAGATTTCCTTTCTTATCCTGGGAGATCGTGCATACCCATAACTACCGTGACTTCTAAACCCATTCACTGGACATCTTACTCCGGAGATAGAGTCCTTAAACTGCTACCATAGCTCTATGGGGAAAATTACCACTTTATCTGGCATTTGCATGTTTTTTAAAAGTTTTCTAATTACGACAATTTTACTGTTAACGCATTAAGAAAACATCAGACTGTTATGCCCCAAACTCAAAATGTTAAATTTAACAGTCCCCTGTTAGAAAAACGGCTGTTAAGTCAGCTGTTGCAATCGAAAGCACGTGCGGCTAAGTTGTGTGAATTTGTACGCTGAGTTTGGATTTTAATATTTAATGATGGAACAACAACTAGAGGAAAACCAAAACATGAATGCTGATCTCGCAGGTTTGCACTGTGTGTTAAATTTACTAAATCGTTAAAATTGTGCGTGTGTATACTAATATTTTGCAGTTTTCTAAGAGCTTCCTTAGCTGAATTTTTAGAAACAAATTTCAACTTTGGAAAGGATTATCTAAGAGAGTTTAGAATTGTTTAAGTGTTTGTCCAAGTGATTGTTGTAGCGTTGTCAATTCTGAGTTTACAGGAATTGGTCCTAATGTCATATTTTTCCATATTTTGGCGGAATTTGCATTTTTATTAGGTAACCTCACTTTTTCCAACGTCGACTTGTTTGCAGTGTGGAATAGCGAGAGGGGCCGGCACGAGCGAGAGAAGGCCGTTCAAAGATATTTTGAACTGCATGCGTGCAATAATGTGGATGATAATATTTTAAAACATAAAAGTCACCAATTTTGCAACAATTTGTATTACAACTGGCTTAAATGTCATAGCTCTTATAAGAACTTCGAAACAAAACATTCCACATGGATGAAAGGCAACACAACTTTGCCTTTAAAAAAAAGTAACAGACCAGTTGGACGACCACTACTTCCATTTGAATCGAAAGGCGAAAGGGCTCAAAGACTGCAAGCAGCGGAACTTTCCAAATTCCAAGGGGACGATGTTTTTTTGCTAGTACATGCAGCAACCGCAGCTGCCCGGAAACAAGGACTACATGATCTTGCTGCAGTTCTTCAAATACTAGGAAGTACCCCGGAAAAAGCCAAGCAAGTCAGAGAAGGATTGACAAAGCCCGTTGATCAGCCTATAAGTGCGTCCAAAGACGAAGCGTTGGCATTAATTTTGGATCAAGGATTGACCAAGGAGCAGTACTGTTCTATCCGAGATGACATTCGTAAGAGAAATGTGGATATCTACCCAATTTATAAAAATGTGGCAGAGCAAAAGAAGCAATGCAGACCAGGCAAAATCAATGTATCAGAGACTGTAGCCAAGGTCTCTCTGCAAGACCTTTTGGAACACACAGCTTTTCGGATTGTGACACTTCAAAAGATGTTATCCATGGTGTATTGGCCAATCAGCACACTGATTTTTTATCTGCTGAGCTCATCGTCAGCTACGGATTCGATGGAAGTACTGGACAGGCGAACTATAACCAGGCATACGCAGATAAAAGATCGTGTAACGGAGACTCATGCCTTTTTGCCACTACCATAATGCCTCTTCGACTCATAGACTCATCCGGAAATTTGTTGTGGAACAATCGCACCCCTCAGTCCATTAGGTTTTGTCGTCCACTAAAATTGGAGTTTCTCAAAGAAACAAAAGAAGTCATTTTAGAAGAGAGCAGGGACATACAATTGCAAATTGAAATGTTGAAGTCAACGATGTTTAAGGTATCTTTAAACGATACTCAATTTGTGTATGTAAGATTCAGTCCATATCTCACTGCCATTGATGGAAAAGTTCTGAATGCATTAACGGACACAAAATCATTTCAAGCATGCCCCATATGCCACTCGAGCCAAAGAGATTTCCTTGGAAATAAAAATTTCAAGTGCTTAAAATTTTTGCCAGTTTCAGACAATCTGAAATATGGAGTAAGCCCACTTCATTGCTGGATAAGAATTTTTGAGTTCGTCTTGCATGCTGGGTATAAGCTGGAGGTAAAGAAATGGCCAATTACTGATCCATGTGACAAGCAAGCGATGCTAAAACGAAAGGCAAGTATACAGGAAATGTTTTGGGCAAAACTGGCTTTGAAAGTCGATAAGCCGAAGCAGGGGGGTTTTGGAAATACAAATACCGGAAACACTGCACGTCGCGCGTTTGCCAACTTCAAAAAATTTTCCGAAATAACTGGAGTTGATCAACAAATAATCTACAATTTGAGGATCATTTTGATATGTTTGTCTTGTCAATTGCCAATAAACTTAGAAAAATTCGAGGCATACTGTCACCAAACTGGCGAAATGATTGTGGACAGTTATCCATGGCTCCCCATGACACCAACACTCCATAAAATTATTGTGCACTCAAGGCAAATCATGGAAAATACGGTGCTTCCAGTCGGCTGTTTTGGTGAAGAAGCGTCTGAGTCCCGCAACAAAATTTATAAATCGGATAGACTTCATCACTCCAGAAAGCACAGTCGATTTGAATCTTTAGGCGATGTGTTTAAACGAGCTTTGGATACATCAGATCCAGTGATTTCTTCCCTAAATTTATCGCGACGCATAAAAAAACATAAAAATCTTTCCCTTCCCATTGAGGTTATCCAGCTGCTCTCGTGTGAGCACGAATACATAAGTGATTTTTCAGAACAAGATGAGCTTGAAGACAACAGTCTATTTTTTCTTGAAAACTTCGAGCTGGAAAATGAAGAAAATGATGAAAATAAAGAAAATTAATTAAAAACTGGGTTTTCACAATTTTTAGGGCGGGAGGGGGCGTGGCGAAACTCCTATCTACAACGTAAGCACGTAGAGGTTACTGAATTTGAAAAGTTAATATCTAAAAATGCATGTAAAATATTATTTTTTCGATTTTTTGGGCAAAAGGGGCGTTGACACGCCCATTTTTCTAAAATAGGTTCTTATGGTCTATAACAACATAATAAAAAAAACCGCAGTGAAAAATCTCTTTTGGTTTACTCACAATAATAAATGCCAGATAAAGTGGTCATTTTCCCCATAGTGCATAGGTCGGGAAGAATAGTAGTGGGCGACTGAAAGGACGCAGGAGATGCCTGGCCAAAAGAATAGACATTGGCCACAAATTTGTTCGGTTGTTGCTTTGGCTTGCGCCGCACTTTATAACTTTGTGAGAACATGAATGGAGAAGTTTACGCCAAGCAACGAATTTGAAAGTAACCAACAACCATCAGACTGGCTTATGCCGACCGGTAGAGATCCCGTGGGAGTTGACTTTAAAGAAGCTTAGAACCGAAACAAGAATCAAACTATCTTGTAGCGTAGAACTAGAGCGTAAACTGTGTGGTGTGTGTTTTATTCTAGTCGAAAAAATACATGCTTTAGATTTAACCTTATCTTAACAATTAATTTACGTACCGCAGTCTTGCCTCCCAGTCTCTTTGAATCCTCCAATCAGAATAAATCAAAGCGGGAGATTTGGGCTTACAATTCACCATTTCATGTGACCGCAATTAGTTTACAACATAATCCCTCTAGAAGGTTACAACATCGATAAAAAAATACTGAAATAATGACCGCTCTATTTAAATTGCTATAGGATTGAGCGATACGTTAAGCCTTCCACGACACTGGCATTGTAACCAAGCCATAGAAAGATTTCCATTGAGAATCAGTTTTAAATAAATAAAAATTTTAATGTGGTACAAAACTCTTATTGAAGTTATGTATTTAAAAAAATAACGCATGAAACTTTGGGTCGCGGCCCGAACCTCCGACAGAACATCACGCACGCTCTGCACAAGGAGGCATCAATTTCCCCTTGAGCCCCAAGGAACTTCTGGTTCTGCATCTCCAGTCTGTCCAACGCCTCTTTGTTGTCACCAAGTGAAATCATTAAAAATGACCATCGTCTAAAAGTTTATAAGCAATGAATATAGGTACTTACTTGAAGTTGGACGGCTACTTGGCTTATATGTCTCTATCAGGAGACCAGGTTGATCAAGAGAGGAAATGTTTTCCCCGTTTTTCTCCTTCGATTCGGTGAACACATCATTGGCCAGCTCATCGAAGCCATCGATGGCTACAAAGCCGATTTGTCCACGCATAAAGCATGAGAAACCGGGCGGTTACCATACATTTTCACTTGGACTCCAGATTTAATCATTTCACGCATTAAGGCTGAATTCATATTCAAGTTTAGTGCGTTGTCGAAATCATGAGACGGTGTTTATGAACACAAGAATGAAATGAAAGCGGATAATGCCCATCAATAAACACAATGTATTGGTTTGGGCGGTTTGTGGTTGTAACACTTTTATAAAACCAACTTGCGCTGCGCAGGAATTTCTAGAACTTGCATCCGTATTGCCAACTTTGTAGCTTTTATAGTTTTCGAGATATGCGCGTTCATACATATCATTTTGGGCGTTAGGTAGGCGTTAAAACTTTTATTCTAGCTTTAAAACAGCGTTCGGCAAAGTCCCATCAAGCGGACATAAGGAATAGCTCTGCTCAGCCTCTGCCATCGTAGAACGGCATTTTTAACGTACAAATCTATAACACTAGTTTTTAACCATAAGAGTTCACATTTCTAGACATTTTGGTTTCCTGTACACGCTGGTATCATTCAAACCTTTTTTCAAAGAATCGTTCTTGAGGTATTTTCGAGAAACATATTTTTTAGATATTGTGTATTATAGAGCTAATATCTCAGAAACTATTGTTAAAACTCGAAGAAATCCGACAAGTTTCGATGCCAGCGCCATGGCCCCTAGCGGTAGCGGGGTTTAGTTTATTGATCGATGTAATTTATTTTAATTTACAAACTTGCGCTACTCAAGAGCCCCTAGGATTTATGCGTGGGCCCAATCTTTTCATTTTTTATAGTTTTCGAGATCTCAGTGCTCATACGGACAAACGAACATGCTTATCAAATAAATATGTATTCTATATTCGCTACACTTAGGGAAAAACACCGTGCCAAAATCAAGTACAAACAGTACGATTTCATGCTTACCGTTTTAAGACCGTCCGTACTAAAAAAAGTCTTATAAAATACACCGTGTTAATGCCCGTGAGCGGCAATTTGTAAGTATACTTATAAAATTCATGTAATTTATTTTGTTTTTTTTTTCATTTTTATTTTCAAATACTTATTTCTCTTTCTAGCATATAATTAAAACCCAATTTAACATGTATAAAACTTTATTACTTAATCGTACTACTTTTTAATAAAAATATGACTAGATTAAAAAATGTTGCTTACTTGATTGTAGACCGAAAGGTTCTAAAAACTTACTGAAACCATATTTATACCCGTTACTCGTAGAGTAAAAGGGTATACTAGATTCGTCGGAAAGTATGTAACAGGCAGAAGGAAGCGTTTCCGACCCCACAAAGTATATATATTCTTGATCAGGATCACTAGCCGAGTCGATCTAGCCATGTCCGTCTGTCCGTCTGTCCGGATGAACGCTGAGATCTCGGAAACTATGGGAGCTAGGCTATTGAGATTTGGCGTACAGATTCCTGAGCTTCTTACGCAGCGCAAGTTTGTTTCAGCAATGTGCCACGCCCACTCCAACGCCCACAAACCGCCCAAAACTGTGGCTCCTACAGTTTTGATGCTAGAATAAAAATTTTAACTGAAATGTATTGTTCTCATCAATACCTATCGATTGACCCAAAAAAAAGTTTGCCACGCCCACTTTAACGCCCACAAACACAAATTTTCATGCTAGATAAAAAATTTTAACTGAAATGTATTGGTCTCGTCGATACCTATCGATTGATCCACCCACTCTAACGCCCATAACGCTTAAATCTGTATACCGCCGGTAGGTGGCGCATTTTAATCTCGCTTTGCTGCTTGCATATCTCCATTTAGTTGAGTAACGGGCAGCTTGACGCGGGTGACGAAGAGTGCCGCAGGATGCCGCCTCCGGAGAACCGGAAACTGCTGCGGGCAGGGCCTGCTCCCTTAGACCCACTTCCTCCAGCTCCTCCACTGCCATCGGCCACATTACGGAAACTGGCCGTGCCAATGCTCCTGCTGCTCGTCGTTCTCTGCTGCATCAAAGGTCGTTCGGCGGGCTCCTCGCACCTTTTCCTGGCAGCATCTCCTTCCTCAACCCCTCGTCCTCCATTGTTAAAGTTGCGAATGCTGTCGCTCATTGACAGAAATTTGCTATTGCCTCTGGAGAAGCTGCTGTGCACCTGCAACTGTTGCTGACTGTGCTGAGGTCTTATGGTAAAGCGCCCACCTAGCCTGAAAAATATGTATATGTATATAATAAAGGACTAACTGATACACTCAGAATTTTTACATAAGATAACCATAACCATTCGGCCAAAGAGCTAGTGGGATGGCTCTGAGGGCGCCGAGCTGAAGGCTACCGAACGGGTCGCAGGTTGCGGATAGCGAGCGCCCTGGTTCTCCAGGGTAGCTACGAATAAGCGTGGAAGTTGGACACGGCCCGGCTACCGCCAAGCCCCCAACACGAAGCGCAAATAAGTAGCCCCGGACAGTCAGCGGGTATCTGCGCCGTAGCAGTACCGACGTCGCGCTTGTGCTGCCGCCTCCGACAAATAGCTCACACACACCCCCTTCCCACACTCTTTGAACCTACCTCTTTCCCACCCACACAACTCATCTCACCCCGGGCTGGACTAAGGTGTCACTCGTACCGTGCCGAGAGTCAATCTGGCTGGGAGCCCGAGTCATCAAATAACTCAGTCTCAAACGGTGAGCTCAGGCAAGTGGCGACCGCCTGTTCTAAGTCAGCCTTACCCGGGTACGGCGGATCTCTGCCCGGGTGGACCTGTCCTTTCTCCGCAGCTCGTGGGATTTAACATGGATAACTTAACAATTAATAAACAAAAAGACTGCACAAGACGAGAGCCCGACACTCTTATAAAGTCGGAAGTCGTAACCAACGACGAAAGTAAGAGCAAGATCACGGCTCTGACTACCCCAGTCCACGTGACGTCGACCCCTGCCAAGGCCAGCGAACAACGCAGCCGGCTAAGCCCAACTCGCCATAGCGACAAGCCCAAGCCTCCCACCAGTGTAGGTGTGGCTAACCAGCCACTCCAACCTGAGGGGAGCGCCAAAGCCGGTCTCGTGGTGAGTACCAGGGCAAAGGAGTTTAAGAGGGTACCACCTAACCAGGCAGGACCTTTTGAAAGAAAGAAGGCTTCCAGGATCCTCAAACGGCTGGCCACCAATCCGATACGTGAGGATCAGACTTCGAAATTGGATTACCAGAAAATCCAAGAGGACATAGCCTGGGCGAAGGCAGTTATCCCAGATTTCGACATCGCTATGACTACCAACAACAAGCGAGAGAGGTCGATGGAGTCAGCTCAACCAGCGAGCAAGAAGGCCAAAGTAACCAACCGCGGCACATGGTCGAGATCCTTTGCGGAAGTGGTAAAGGATCGGAAGATCATTGGAGTCATCGACCAGAGCGATGAAGGCGGAAGGATCCCAAGAAACCATTGGGGTCTGGTTAGACGGGCCCTTGCGACAGTGGCCTTGAAAGTGCTGGACGAGAACCCAGGACCGCCACCCGATTGCACAGATGCAGGGTGGTACCAGGGCAACGTAAAGTTGATCGCCTGCGAAGACGAGAGATCGGCAGCACTCTACAAGGCTGCAATTGACAAAGTCGGCGAGGTCTACCCCGGGGCCAAGCTGGCAGTTTGTGAGGCTGCAGACATCCCGTCTCGACCGAGAGCGAGGGTGTGGCTGCCGTCTGAACCATCGGAACCATTTACACCAAGGACAAGGTTAAAACCAGAACCTGCATTCTTACAAAAACACACTTTAACACATTTCTTATTCCACAGTTTAGCGAAGGCGACCTTACCACGGTCAGACTGGAGCTAAACGAACACACCCATCACACCATAGCATCATTCTATCTGGCTCACGACTACGAAGGGCCACTACCAAACACCACTACACAAGAACTCATACGCACTCACTCATCTAAGGAACTCATCCTGGGTGGGGACGCTAACTCACACCACACACAATGGGGAAGTACAAACACCAACGAAAGGGGTGAGTTACTCTACGACTATCTCCTTCAATCAAATCTATTCATCTGCAACAAAGGTAATGACCCAACTTACATCACTAGAAATAGGAGGGAAGTACTAGACATTACTCTAATATCTGATCCCTTACTTAACCAGCTAGACGCGTGGAAGGTGGGGATCGAACACTCATTCTCGGACCACCGATACATAGAATTTACAATAAGTCTAGAACATCCTCCCGCCGAGAACATAACTAATCTAAGATTAACCAACTGGGGATACTATAAAAATCTCCTCAACAGGAACCTACCCGCTCCTCCGACACACATACGCAACCGTCAAGAATTAGATAGCCTAGTTAACACTTTTACTGATATCTGCGGTGAGGCCTTAAAAAGGGCTTGCCCAAGTAGAACAGTTAAAACAAAGCACAAACCCCCATGGTGGAACCCAACCCTAGCGAACCTTAAAAGAGAGTGTAGAACTTACTTCAATAAAGCTAAATACAACAATAGCGAATCCTCCTGGAATCTATATCATTCAAAACTAAGCCTATACAAAAAGGAAATTAGAATATCAAAACGAAGAGCCTGGGCTAACTTCTGCAGTAGCATAGAATCTACTGCGGAGGCATCCAGACTCAGATGAATTCTAGCTAAAGCTCCAGCTACCATTGGCTATCTTAAAACCAATGCTGTTGGCTGGACGGAAAACAGTCAGGAAACCCTTGAACTACTGTTAGCCACACACTTCCCTAACAATACCCAGGTAGTGGAGGACCTCCACATAGAGGTGAATCTAGACGACCAGAGTATTGCCAACATTTCAAACCCTGACCGCATTCAGTGGGCTGTTAACTCTTTTAAGCCCTTCAAATCACCTGGCCCAGATGGGTTCTTCCTGGCCCAGCTACAACGGACATTAGATATGTCCCTTCCCTGGCTGACAGCCATCTTCCACGGCTGCCTTGCTCTAAACCATATTCCAACAAGGTGGCTGGACGTTAAGGTAATTTTATACCGAAAGCCGGCAAGCCCTCCCACACTAACCCAAAGGACTTCCGCCCGATCAGTCTCTCTTCCTTCTTGTTGAAGACCCTGGAAAGGCTAATTGACACCCATATCAGACTAACCATCGACCATAGCCTACTCTCTGACGCACAGCATGCGTACCGTAAGGGTAGATCAACCGATACCGCCCTCCACTCTCTAGTGTACAGTATAGAACGAGGCTTCCACAATAAGGAATACTCTCTTGCAGCGTTTCTAGACATAGAAGGCGCCTTCAACAACGTCACCCCAACGGCGATCACTGGTGCTCTGACTGAACTGGGCATTGAGCGGCCCATAGTGGGACTCATACACACCATGCTAACCAGCAGGGTAGTGCACTCCACTATGGGATCGGCCCTCTCGACCAGGAATGTCAGTAGAGGAACCCCACAAGGGGGCGTACTCTCACCTCTTCTATGGGTTTTGGTGGTCAACAAACTGCTATCACTTCTAGAAGAGGCGGGCACAAAAGTGGTAGCCTACGCGGATGACGTGGTTATCCTACTGCAGGGCAAATTCCCGCAAACCCTTTGTAATCTAATGGAGACAGCCCTATCCACCCTTTCCCGGTGGACGGCTGGCTGTGGACTGGGAGTTAACCCGGAAAAGACCGAACTAGTTCTCTTTACAAGGAAGTACAAGGTACCAATTCTAGTTCCCCCAAAACTACACCAAACGCGCCTAACCTTTAGCAACCAAGCAAAGTACCTAGGTGGTATCCTTGACAAAAAGGTCCTCTGGACTGATAACATCCTAGATCGCACACGCAAAGCGGCCATAGCCCTCTTCGCTTGTAAAAAAGCCATAGGGAGGAAGTGGGGTTTCTCCCCCATGATAGTTCACTGGCTATATACTGCAATAGTCAGGCCCATTCTCCTCTACGGAAACATCGTTTGGTGGCCTTCTCTAGATAAGAACTGCAACCTCCGAATCCTTCACAAGATCCAAAGGAGCGCAGAGCTCTGCATCAGTGGGGCGCTGCGCACTACCACCACCGAGGCACTAAACACAATTCTCGATCTCCAACCCCTGGACCTACTTGCCAAAAGCTGGGCATCTGCAACAGCGCTGAGGCTCCGTGAAGCAGCGGCTTGGACAACGGGTTCCACGGGTCACTCCATTATCCTATGAAAACATTCACCCCTACCACGTTATACAGACTACGTCCCACCCATAGTCAACTTCGAAAGAAGATACAAAATTCATATACCCACCCGTTCAGACTGGGACAACCTCCCACATCAATTCGTAAACGCCGTCAACATATACACTG